AGTACCACACTCACTAGCACCTAGAGCAGCAGCGGCTATACCTGGGTCAGGCGGCACACACCGGTAACAGTCACCCTCAGCACTAACAGACATAGCATACATAGCAGAAAGAATAGCATCAAAGTCTAGGTCAAAGATAGCAATCATAGACTTAAGCAGATCTGCCCAGCAAGGGAGCTTGACATTGTCACCAAACTCAGCACGCCAAGCGTCGTCGAGGCGGGAGAAGCAGCGGTGCTGAGTGTGGGACCGCCCGCAAGTCTGACCAGCAGGATCACCCGTGCGAATGACATATGGGCAACTACCCCCAGACGCCCCACGCAGAAACCACTCACGAAGCTGCTGGGGCGACTGGGTCTCACTCGGACGGTGCTGCTGCTGACGCTGGCCGCCTCCAGAACCAACACGCCGAGCGCCAGTCCCACCTCCACCAGTCCCACTGCCGCCACTGCCTCCACCCCCACCGCTGCCTCCACCGCCGCCACCAGAGCCCCCACTCCCTCCACCAATTCCACCGCCGCCACCACCTCCACTGCTGCCCCCACCACTACTCCCGCTGCCACCTCCACCACCACCGCCACCACGTCCACCACCCTTGCCACCCTTGCCCTTGCTGCTGCGGCGCTTCGCACTAGTAGAAGCAGCTCCGACGTCCTGAGCAACAGAGACGTCTGCAGCAGCAGCAGAGGCGTAGGAGGGGGCAAGGGGGGAGGGGAACACCCCTCAAAGAAGGGCGGGCGCGGAGTGCCACGAGCAGCACCTATAGCAACTGCACTAGTCTCAGCTGCAAGGAGATGCTGCTGGAGGAGGTCAACAATGAGGGAGGTGGGGCCAAGAGAGAGGAAGTGGTCCCTGACAGAGCGAAGAGAGTCAGGGAGACGAGTGACTATGAAGTAGAGGGTGATGAACATCGGGGGCTGGTTCTTGTCAAGGAACTCAGCAAGGATGGCTGCATGGTAGCGAGCGTCGCTAGCGCGAAGGTGGGAAACTAGGTCCTCGACTGTGGCAAAGGCGGACAGGTCGGGGAACAAGTAGGGCAGAAGCAGGCGGCCTAGAGCAGCAGTGGCAGGGGAGGAGTAGCGAGCGACTACAGCGTCGTACAGTGCCTGTGCGGTCCTGTGCTAACCAAAGTGAGCGCATTCGGCTAACGGCAGGTGGTTGCGAATGGCTAAGCGGGCAGCAGCGTCGCGAGAAAGCCACTGTGAGCGAGTCGCACCGTCAGCGGTGGTGGGAGGGGCAGCAGCGGCACCGGACACGTGGTCAAACAGGGAAACACCATCCTTAATATCGCTCAGGAGGTACAGCTGCAGGTCGTCGAGCCACGTGTCAAACTGAACCAGTCCACCCTCATGATCGAATGCGAGGACCCGAAGCGAGGCCATAGCTCTGCAGTTGGCAGGAGCAGCAGAAGAAGCAGTAGCTGCAGCAGTAGTAGCTGTAGCAGTAGCAGCAGTAGGGACAGTAACGATAAGGGGCCGAGGGGCCTGGGGCCTAGGGGGCGAGGGGCCAAGGTGCCAAGGGCCCAGGGGCCAAGGGGCCTGGGGCCTAGGGGCCAACTGAGCCGGGCGCGCGGGCTAGGGGTCAACGGGGCCGGGCGCGGGGCTAGGGGTCAACGGGGGGGCGGGCGTGGGGCTAGGGGTCGACGTTGGGCCGGGCGCAGGTGAGGGGTCGACAGGGGCCGAGCGCGGGCTAGGGGCGACGGGGCCGGGCGCGGGGCTAGGGGTCGATGGGGGGGGCGAGCGCGGGCTAGGGGTTGACGGGCCGGGCGCGGGCTAGGGGTCGACGGGGCCGGGCGCGGGGCTAGGGGTCGACGGGGGCCAGGCGCGGGGCTAGGGGTCGACGGGGCCGTGGCGCGGGCTAGGGGTCGACGGGGCCGGGCGCGGGGCTAGGGGTCGACGGGGGCCGAGCGCGAGGGCTAGGGGCGACGGGGCCGGGCGCGAGGGCTAGGGGCGACGGGGCCGGGCGCGAGGGCTAGGGTCGACGGGGCCGGGCGCGAGGGCTAGGGGTCGATGGGGGCTGAGCGCGGGCTAGGGGCGACGGGGCCGCGCGCGGGGCTAGGGGTCGACGGGGGCCGAGCGCGGGCTAGGGGCAACGGGGCCGGGCGCGGGGCTAGGGGTCGACGGGGGGGCGAGCGCGGGCTAGGGGTCGACGGGCCGGGCGCGGGCTAGGGGTCGACGGGGCCGGGCGCGGGGCTAGGGGTCGACGGGGCCGGGCGCGGGGCTAGGGTTCGACGGGGCCGGGCGCGGGGCTAGGGGTCGATGGGGGCCGAGCGCAAGGGCTAGGGGCGACGGGGCAGGGCGCGAGGGCTAGGGGTCGACGGGGGGCCGAGCGTGGGCTAGGGGTCGACGGGCCGGGCGCGGGCTAGGGGTCGACGGGGCCGGGCGCGGGCTAGGGTCGACGGGCCGGGCTAGGGGCGACGGGCCTAGGGGCGACGAGCAGAGGGGCGACACGAGGGTCGCTAGGGGCTGCTAGTGGGGCAGCGAAGTGGTGGGCCCAAGGAACACCGGTCCTAGCGGAGGACCTGCTCTGAAACCATGTCAAGAGAATGAACGAGAATGAATGAACTATGAAACAGTTGGGTACAATTACTAACCCTAATTGGGTTGTACCCCTTATGGGCTACCCCACTATAGCCTACACAAATGTAAAAGCTATAATGTTCTGACAAAGGCGATGTTGTTACCGTTCACTCGCACGGTGCAGTCACCCGTCGTCCAGTCGATTCGCGGATTGTGTCGTCACAGCCAATCATGGCCGAGTAAAATGTCGGTTCCGTCGAGGGTTGTCGCGAGCATTTCCTGACTAAATGTGAAGTTACCCTCGCATGGAATCCGAACTCGGTCCACGCGTTCCCGTATCGCAAGGGGCGTGCCGTTGACCAGTCTTGCGTCAATCTTAGGTAAACACCTGTCCAGTGGCAGTTTCAGTTTCCGTGCTGTGACGTTGTTGATCAGGCTGTGGCTGGCTCCCCCGTCTATAAATATTTTAACTAAGTCTGTCCCAATTTTCCCACTAAGCAGTATGGGGCTGTCTACCATGGTACCCTCCTTATTCGGCCGGGTGTGGTCGATTGCGTGAACCGGCACAATCACTCGGTGTGGGTCGGTTGGGTCGGGCGAGTAGCGTGACCTGTCAGTAGAGGGCCCGTGTGCTACTGACTCCCAGCGTTTCCCTGCTGCTTGGTCTGTTTCTGCTGCTCAGCTTCCCCCTTTCCCTTAGCGTTTTCCGGGCATTCGCTTTTGCGGTGTCCCGGCCGATTGCACGCGAAGCAACGCCCTTTAAACGGTGCGGCAGCGGCATTCGCAGCGACGGCACGTATCGTAGCGCCCTCGTTTGTCCCACGAGATCGATGTCCCCAGTTGCTGTTGCTTCTGTAGGACCCCGGACTCGGTTGGCGGAAGAAATCGAGTTTCTCCGCCATAGCGGTGACGCCGCAGAACTGGATTTCCTGAGCAATGTCGTGCTTCAGGCTGCCGATGTAGCGGTCGATGCGCTCAGATTCGTGCATGTAGCCCAGCGCCAGAAACCCGCTGGTGTAATCCTGGACGGAACCGAGTTGGCCCCAAGTGCGGAGCTTCTGACGCACTGCAATCGAAGCCGCAATTGGCTCAAATCGAGCGCGCAGACCTGCACACCTCGCGTCCCACGTGCGATATTGGGGCACCTCCACGAAATACACGGCGCCCAAGGTCTGGTTTGTCCTTCCTGTGTCGGTAGAGTCGCGTAGTCCATCGGCTTTGTGACGATGCCACGCCACCAATCCATGGCGGGTCCTCGCAGCAGCGACACGGCATAGCGGATTTTCGCCGTATCTTCCGAGACGTAGTTGGCGTCGAAGAAAACGTTCAATGTGAACAGCTACGCCTGAACGGTAGGACCACCCCGTTGACTTGGGTCAAAGCATGGCGGGTGCTGCGGCTTCAGCGGCATCGGCGACGGCAGTGTCGATTCGCCGGCCGGCACAGAAATCGTGACGTGGGGTTGACTCCTGGCCGCATTCGTCGCTTCGGGGTGTGTTGGCCGTGGTCGTCGTCTCCGTCGTTGCGGACGACGCCATCACTGGCCGCGCTCGCGGGTTGCCCCACACTTCCGTGTTGCGATGTCTGTGGTGCAGGTTGTCCCGGAGTGCCAGGTGCTTGTGATTGTGCTTGCTATGCTCGTGCGACGTCATTCTGCAGGGTTGTGCGTTCTGCCGTTAGTGCTGCGATTTCTTCAGAGCTTTCGCGAAGTTGCTGCAGCAGTTCGTTCAGACGGTCCTGCGTGAGCGTAGTGACGTTGATGTGTTCGGCCATGTCAAAGGGCGTCGGCTCAGCTTAGTCTAGGCGCAGTCGTGGCTGCACGCGTTTACGAGAAAACGCGAGGACAGCGACTCCTAGGTGCTAAGGGGCGTGAGTCACTTCGAGTGAAAAAACAAAAGTTGATTTCCTGGGGTGCGGAGGTGCGCGGTCCGAAAGAGGAAAGTGGCCCTGATAACAAGTGTTACGGGTGCAATGAATCGAGGTAGCGAGGATTGCACTAGAGTGTTCAACGAGTACAAAGTATGAGCGAAGGCATGAGCGAATACTTATACGCGAAACATGCAAACGGTAACGCGGTGCATGCGAGCTAGCTAGTGCTACCCTGGCGCGAGGTTCGGGCTAGTCCCGAAGCGTAGGCCGACTCGGCTGCTCCAGCAGTGCGAGGTTTGGTGAAACAGTGCGCGCGAAGTTGGCGAAGCCCCGTTAGCAGTAACAGGCGAACAACGGTTGCGGCTCTACGCGATGTTGATGGTCGCAGTAATGAATAGCGAGAAAATTCCTTACAGGTGCTCTGAGAAGAATATAATTAGAATTTGCAGGCGAATGGGCTTAAATGCATGTAGAGGAATTAATTTTCATGGAGTGGTGAGGTGAGGTGTTCCTGTCCCGTCTTAGTAGTAACTTGACAAAGCAAAACATAGCGCCCAGATTCTACTCGAATTCTCAACAAAACGACATGCCTGTAGGGGTGTGTAACCTAAGCTAAGCATTGAAGAGGGAGCGGAAGGACATGTCCTTCTTGGATGCGCTGGCGGTGGAGGAGTCAGCGAGGGCAAAGATGCGCTTCAGCGCCGTGTTCTGCGACACCGCTGCTGCCGCCGCTGCTGACTGCGCCATGGCACCCCGCCCGAGCGCTGCCGCCCGCGCTATCATGGCCTCACGGCTGGCAGCGCTCGTCAGCATGCCTGCTGCCGCAGCGGCAGCAGCGGTGGCTGTGGCAGCTGGGGGAGTGGCAGCAGCCGTGGCAGGTGGTGGGTGAGAGGCAGTGGAGGTGGAGGGTGTAGCGGAGGAGGTGGGGGACTTGGAGGGCAAGGCCTGAGTGGGCGCTGCTGCTCTGAGCTTGGCTGTGAGCGCGTCCAGCAGTGGCTGCTGCTCTGGCTTCTTCACTCCCTGTGGTGGGCAGGCAGGTGGGCACGTGCGTGCAGAGGAAACAATGGTGGAAGAGGTGGAGGGTGATGATGGTGTGATGCGTACAGTGGGAAAAGAGAGGGAAGGTAAGACAGGAAGCAGGGATACTACAGTGTGCTAGTTCATTTCAAGCCAATGGATCTCTTGAGGTCGAGTGTGCGCACCTTGAGGTCGAGTGGGCGCACGTTGAGGTCGAGTGGGCGCACCTTGAGGTCGAGTGGGCGCACCTTGAGGTCGAGTGTGCGCACCTTGAGGTCGAGTGGGCGCACCTTGAGGTCGAGTGGGTGCACCTTGAGGTCGAGTGTGCGCACCTTGAGGTCGAGTGGGCGCACGTTGAGGTCGAGTGGGCGCACCTTGAGGTCGAGTGGGTGCACCTTGAGGTCGAGTGGGTGCACCTTGAGGTCGAGTGGGCGCACCTTGAGGTCGAGAGGGTGCACCTTGAGGTCGAGTGTGCGCACCTTGAGGTCGAGTGGGCGCACGTTGAGGTCGAGTGGGCGCACCTTGAGGTCGAGTGGGTGCACCTTGAGGTCGAGTGTGCGCACCTTGAGGTCGAGTGGGCGCACCTTGAGGTCGAGTGGGTGCACCTTGAGGTCGAGTGGGCGCACGTTGAGGTCAAGTGGGCGCACCTTGAGGTCGAGTGGGTGCACCTTGAGGTCGAGTGTGCGCACCTTGAGGTCGAGTGGGCGCACCTTGAGGTCGAGCGTGCGCACCTTGAGGTCGAGTGGGCGCACGTTGAGGTCGAGTGGGCGCACCTTGAGGTCGAGTGGGTGCACCTTGAGGTCGAGTGTGCGCACCTTGAGGTCGAGTGGGCGCACGTTGAGGTCGAGTGGGCGCACCTTGAGGTCGAGTGGGTGCACCTTGAGGTCGAGTGTGCGCACCTTGAGGTCGAGTGGGCGCACCTTGAGGTCGAGTGGGTGCACCTTGAGGTCGAGTGTGCGCACCTTGAGGTCGAGTGGGCGCACGTTGAGGTCGAGTGGGCGCACCTTGAGGTCGAGTGTGCGCACCTTGAGGTCGAGTGGGCGCACGTTGAGGTCGAGTGGGCGCACCTTGAGGTCGAGTGGGTGCACCTTGAGGTCGAGTGTGCGCACCTTGAGGTCGAGTGGGCGCACGTTGAGGTCGAGTGGGCGCACCTTGAGGTCGAGTGGGTGCACCTTGAGGTCGAGTGTGCGCACCTTGAGGTCGAGTGGGCGCACGTTGAGGTCGAGTGGGCGCACCTTGAGGTCGAGTGGGTGCACCTTGAGGTCGAGTGTGCGCACCTTGAGGTCGAGTGGGCGCACCTTGAGGTCGAGTGGGTGCACCTTGAGGTCGAGTGGGCGCACGTTGAGGTCAAGTGGGCGCACCTTGAGGTCGAGTGGGTGCACCTTGAGGTCGAGTGTGCGCACCTTGAGGTCGAGTGGGCGCACCTTGAGGTCGAGCGTGCGCACCTTGAGGTCGAGTGGGCGCACGTTGAGGTCGAGTGGGCGCACCTTGAGGTCGAGTGGGTGCACCTTGAGGTCGAGTGTGCGCACCTTGAGGTCGAGTGGGCGCACGTTGAGGTCGAGTGGGCGCACCTTGAGGTCGAGTGGGTGCACCTTGAGGTCGAGTGTGCGCACCTTGAGGTCGAGTGGGCGCACCTTGAGGTCGAGTGGGTGCACCTTGAGGTCGAGTGTGCGCACCTTGAGGTCGAGTGGGCGAACGTTGAGGTCGAGTGGGCGCACCTTGAGGTCGAGTGTGCGCACCTTGAGGTCGAGTGGGCGCACGTTGAGGTCGAGTGGGCGCACCTTGAGGTCGAGTGGGTGCACCTTGAGGTCGAGTGTGCGCACCTTGAGGTCGAGTGGGCGCACGTTGAGGTCGAGTGGGCGCACCTTGAGGTCGAGTGGGTGCACCTTGAGGTCGAGTGTGCGCACCTTGAGGTCGAGGGGGCGCACCTTGAGGTCGAGTGGGTGCACCTTGAGGTCGAGTGGGCGCACGTTGAGGTCCAGTGGGCGCACCTTGAGGTCGAGTGGGTGCACCTTGAGGTCGAGTGTGCGCACCTTGAGGTCGAGTGGGCGCACCTTGAGGTCGAGCGTGCGCACCTTGAGGTCGAGTGGGCGCACGTTGAGGTCGAGTGGGCGCACCTTGAGGTCGAGTGGGTGCACCTTGAGGTCGAGTGTGCGCACCTTGAGGTCGAGTGGGCGCACGTTGAGGTCGAGTGGGCGCACCTTGAGGTCGAGTGGGTGCACCTTGAGGTCGAGTGTGCGCACCTTGAGGTCGAGTGGGCGCACCTTGAGGTCGAGTGGGTGCACCTTGAGGTCGAGTGTGCGCACCTTGAGGTCGAGTGGGCGCACGTTGAGGTCGAGTGGGCGCACCTTGAGGTCGAGTGGGTGCACCTTGAGGTCGAGTGTGCGTACCTTGAGGTCGAGTGGGCGCACCTTGAGGTCGAGTGGGTGCACCTTGAGGTCGAGTGGGCGCACGTTGAGGTCAAGTGGGCGCACCTTGAGGTCGAGTGGGTGCACCTTGAGGTCCAGTGTGCGCACCTTGAGGTCGACGGGGCGCACCTTGAGGTCGAGCGTGCGCACCTTGAGGTCGAGTGGGCGCACGTTGAGGTCGAGTGGGCGCACCTTGAGGTCGAGTGGGCGCACCTTGAGGTCGAGTGTGCGCACCTTGAGGTCGAGTGGGTGCACCTTGAGGTCGAGTGTGCGCACCTTGAGGTCGAGTGGGCGAACGTTGAGGTCGAGTGGGCGCACCTTGAGGTCGAGTGGGTGCACCTTGAGGTCGAGTGTGCGCACCTTGAGGTCGAGTGGGCGCACCTTGAGGTCGAGTGGGTGCACCTTGAGGTCGAGTGGGCGCACCTTGAGGTCGAGTGGGCGCACCTTGAGGTCGAGTGGGTGCACCTTGAGGTCGAGTGTGCGCACCTTGAGGTCGAGTGGGCGCACCTTGAGGTCGAGTGTGCGCACCTTGAGGTCGAGTGGGTGCACCTTGAGGTCGAGCGTGCGCACCTTGAGGTCGAGTGGGCGCACGTTGAGGTCGAGTGGGCGCACGTTGAGGTCGAGTGGGTGCACCTTGAGGTCGAGTGTGCGCACCTTGAGGTCGAGTGGGCGCACCTTGAGGTCGAGTGGGTGCACCTTGAGGTCGAGTGTGCGCACCTTGAGGTCGAGTGGGCGCACGTTGAGGTCGAGTGGGCGCACCTTGAGGTCGAGTGGGTGCACCTTGAGGTCGAGTGTGCGCACCTTGAGGTCGAGTGGGCGCACGTTGAGGTCGAGTGTGCGCACCTTGAGGTCGAGTGGGCGCACCTTGAGGTCGAGTGTGCGCACCTTGAGGTCGAGTGTGCGCAGGAAGTCAGCAGTGGAGCCATCGGGCAGCAGCGTGCGGTACGTGTCCACAAGGTTCTCCTGTGGTGCTAGCACCACCTGGTGGGCGGGAGGAGAGCAGGGGTGATGGCTCCCACAACAGAGGCGCAGGAGTGGGATGGAGGCAGGGCGTGAGCGAGAGGGAGCACGCCCAGCAGGCCAATGGCGGTACTGCGATGGAAGAGAGCCAAGCATTGCAGCGGACAGATGCATAGCAGGCAGGGAGGGCAGGGCAGGAGCAGCGATGAGACATTCCCATCTCACCTTGAGCAGCGCCTCTGATCGCCCCATCTCGCGCGTCACATACTTGCTGTACGCTGCTGTGGCCGCCTGCACGAGGGTACGTGGGGGTGCGCGAGGAGGCAGAGAGGTCGAAGAGGCGGGGTGAGGGGTGAGAAAGGAGTGGTGGGAGAGGGAGAGCATGGTCTGTGTGGCACTGAGATGTGTGGACAGAGCTGGAGAAGGGTGCCTGCAGTGGCGGGAGCAGCGCGCATGGACTCACCAGCCCCCCTAGTGCAGGCAGCTCGAGCAGAATGGTCTTGATGCCGTGCGTGTCCAACAGCATCTGGTGTGGGGGGGCATGGGCGCAGCGAGGGGCAGGGACGTGGGTCCAGTGAGAGTGGCACAGGGAAGACGGGAGGGAGAGATGGAAGGCGGGGTTGGGGGGGGAGATGGGACAGCAAGAGGGATAGTAAATCATAAGGCATACTCACAGAGCTGTGGAATGAGAGGAAGGCTGGGCTTGTTTGAAAGGGACCAACGCGGCAGCATGGTTGAGACAGCAGTTTAGGTGCAAACTTACGAAGCGCACACACATTGTTCATCCAAAAACCAACAGCATCTCTAAGCTGTTCTACAAGCACAAGGCTGGCATGGGGGCATCACCTGCTGGGCGCCGGTGCCGGAGAGGCGTTTGGCCTTGAAGACCGTGGCGTAGTAGCGCGGGCCGAACGATGCTGCCAGCTGGCGCCCGGGGAGTGAGGCGCGCGTGATGGGCGAGGGAGTTGGGGAGATTGGGGGAGCAGAACAGGGAGTACGCGTGAGCATGGGGGAGCAGAACAGGGAGTACGCGTGAGCATGGGGGACGCCAGGGCCGGCTTGGGCCAGGTGGGGATGAGGCGGGGTTGAGTAGAAGGAGGCAATGTGAGGGGGGCTCACAAGCCTCGCTAGCTCGTGTTCGTCCAAGCACGTGCTGCCTGTGCTTGTTGCCTGTCAAGTCCACTTGCCATCAATCGTGAAATGTGTTAGTGTTAGACCTCAAATCTCACACTTTGTATTTTGTACTTTCTATATCCTAGCGTAGTGTAGTTTGCACTTTGTGTTTGGTTGGGTGTACACCTACATCCCAACCAAACCCAAATGTGATCTCCAAGCAATCTCCAACCCACCAATTGGAGATTGCCTTGAGATTACCCCCAATCCCTAGAGATTTCTCCTGATCCCCTTCCCCATCCCTTCCTTGCCAATCTTGGATGTACTTAAAGAGCTTCGAGCTCATCACTAAGATCTGGATTCTAAGCTCAAGTTCTGACATGGTATCAGAGCTCTTCAACCGCACACGCGGATCTTGATCCTCTTACCTTTGCGGAATCCTCTCCCGCACTCTTAGGCGAAGCCGCCGTCAACATTCATCGCTCGACGTTAAGGATCGTCATCGACCTAATCTTCCCGGCCGGAATTTCTCCCGCGCCTTCCTCGTCGCCGTGATTCGCGACATCTTCCGTGGGCAGATTTTCCCTCGCGCCACCTCTTTCACAGTCACGGTGCACCGGTTTCTGCACTTCGCTAAAGCGACACTTCACGAAGGGCTGCCGCCTGTCGTCCTGCAGCGTCACCTTCAGGCTGCCGCCCATCGCTCTGCAGCGTCACCTTCGGGCTACCGCCCGTCGCCCTGCAGCTTCACGTCGAGCTGACGCCCGTCGCCCTACAACGTCATCTTCGGGCTGCTGCCCGTCGCCCCGCTACGGTACTTCTATCGCCCCGCAACTGAACAGGTGTAGCCGAGCAGCCGTGTAGCAGCGAAGCCGCGAAGCCGAGGGACAGGACCGGGGGGGACCAGGGTTAGCAGTTAATCGGCAGTTCTGAAATCGGCGTTTCCTTCAAATTCTCCTTCGGAAACCCGAAACCTCAAAATTCTCTTTTGTAAACCCTAAACCTCAAGTTCTTCAAATTCTCCTACGGAAACCCTAAACCTCAAGTTCCTATCGGTGACTTCAGAGCGGCGCTTCACGCGAGACCTTAAGGGTTCTTCGCCATGGCCTTCGCCTTGGCCACTCTCGCCAACCCTATCACCCCGCTCCGCCTTGAAGCCGACGGCACTAGCTCCAACTTCAAGGCATGGAGCTACCGGGTTGACAAGCACCTCCTGAGTCGTGAAGTGGGTGGACTTGACCTCAAGGACTTTCTTCTCAATCATGGCAAGGGAAAACAGCCCCCCCTCCCCAAGGAGCCGTCCGATCTCTCCGATGTTGTGGCAACCCAGGAGTACGAGGATTCTGTTGCCAAGTACCGCAAGTGGGAGAAGGCCGATGCGGCTATCATTAGCGTCTTCATCGGCTCCACCCCTCCCGAACTTGTCAACACTTTCCACAATTACCCCACTTCCAACGCCATCTAGAAGCATCTCCAGCATAGGTTCATGAACAAGACGACGGTTGGGGTGGCCATCCTCATTCCTAGTATGTTTCAAGTCTGCCTTGAGGATTGCCCGAGAATGGCCGACTACATCGCCAAGGTGCAAAGCATCCATGGAGAGCTCAAGGAGCTGGGTATCGTCCTCCCCGAACAAGCTCCTGCAGCCGCCCTTCTTGTTGGCCTCACCTCGGCATACGAAGTCACGATGAAAATGCTCCTCACACTCTCGGCGGAAGACCTCACATTTGCTAAGGTCTCCTCCGCCCTCCTCTCCGCCGAGAAAGACACCACGGCTCAAGCCAATGCCTACGCCCTCCGCACTCCCGTGCCTCAAGCAAGTGTCGCCTCGGCGCCCTTCCAGCGCAACCGTTTCCCTCCGTGCACCTACGTCGTCAAGTATGGCAACCGCAAGGGACAAGTGTGTGGTGGCACTAACCACCCTCTTGCCACGTGTTTCAAGAAGAAAGACGACGAGTGGTATGCCGTCCATGAAATCGACAAGAAGCGGCCGAATTGGATGCGCCCTCGTAAGACCAACCTAGTTGAGGCACAGGACCCCGCTCAGGCTAGTTGTAGTGATAGTGCTCCTGCTGATGTGCGCATCAACTTGTTGTTACCTGGCACTGCCATGATTAATGAAGCAACTTCGCAGTACATCGGCTCATCACAGGCACCACAATACATCGAATTCACACTCGACAGCAAGGCCACTCACACAGTGCTAAAGGAGACACTCTCCTTCAAACCCTACACAACACCCATTCCTCTACTGGGAGCAGATTCAAGCTTCTCCACTCTTGCCAAGGGTTCGCCCACAGTCCCACGCCCTGCCTTCCCATTCGGCACAGTCACTGGCATGTGCGTGCCTTCACTACGCCACAATCTAGTGGCCCAAAAAATAAATTCAGGAGGCTGGGTCACACACCATCTTCTTAGAGAATGAGGACTACTGTGACATCATTGACCCACTCACTAATAAGGTCTTAGCTTGCTTCACCCTCAACAGCAGTGCCCTCTACACGTTACGTGTACCTATCCCACAGGTGTCAACCACCCAAGCACAGGCTGCTACCACACCATGTTCGTGTCGCAGTTCCAGCAACCTGACCATCCTCTACCACCATCAGCTCGGGCACCCAAACTTCCGCACGCTTGCTGACATGGCCTCCAAGAAGCTTCTTCTCGGCCTACCAGCCTCACTTCCTCCACCACCTGACTCTCCCGCTCCCTCGTGTCTTGATTGCACCAAGAGCAAGCTGCGCCAACAGCCCCACCCTGCCTCACCCTTAGTTGCTGCAGCCCCACTGGACCTAGTGCACATGGACGTCTGGGACCCTGCCCCTATTGCCGCACGAGGCGGCCAATCGTTATTTCCTTGCAATAGTTGATGACCACTCTCGCTACGTCTCTGTGCACCTCCTCCACACTAAGGCTGAGGCTCCAAAGGTGGTCTCTGTGGGTTAACAAGGCACAGACCACCTTTGGCACCAAGGTCAAGCGCCTTCATTCGGACGGTGGTGGTGAATTTTGCAATGACAAGCTCAAAGCCTTCTGCTCCTCCCTTGGCATCCTCAAAAAATTCACCCTTCCTGACAGCCCGCAGCAGAACGGCATAGCAGAGAGCCGCAATCACACATTGGTGCAGATCAAACACTGCCTCCTCAGCCATTCCAACGCACCACTCTCACTCTGGGGGTACGCCCTCTATCATGCCGCCCTCCTCTACAACCTCTACCCCCACCCGCATCTTCCCGACACCACTCCCACCACACTCCGGCTCGGGAAAACACCCACTGCTCGCCCCCTTCGCGTCTGGGGGTGCACCGCCTATGTCCTCCTCAACCCCCAGGCTCGGCGACAGCAAGGTGGCAAGCTTGGTCCCAAAACTCAAACGTGCATCTACCTTGGGCATAACGCTGACTCCCATGACTACTTTTTCCTCAACCCCTCCACTCAACAACTAGTCCGGAGCCGCGATGTAATCTTATATGAGACTCACCCCTTTTACACCACCTCAGGGGGGGATCCCCCCTCCGGACCACCCTCCCTTGTGTGGGCTGACTTTGATGCGCCTCCTGAACTTCCGCCTGCACCAGCTCCCTCACCTCTTACCTCTCCTGCCGTCGCACCATCCCCGTCTGAGGTCTCTAACCCGACCTCTCCAGTGTTCTCGGCAGCTGCTCCTCCATCCCCCCCCTCCACCACTCTGCCAAGTGCGTCCCACCACCAAGCGCACCAATCACATACCATCGGCGGTCGAACCCTCCAGCCCCACCTCCTCCCCCCGTTCCCTCTTCCACTCAGGAACCTGCTCTCCCACAACCGAGCAAACTGATCACGTACCAGCGACGGCCGATCCCTCCGGCCAGGCCTCCTAAACCGTCCCCTCCAGGAACGCCTGCTCCACCCTCTTCTCCGATCGCTCATGGCACTCAGTCGCATGGGGCTGCTCCTCCACTGGCACTTGCCATTCGATGCTCAGTGATCACTTCGACTCCCTCTGCTGGGGGGGATGTGCCCTCTATCCTTTTGGAAGACACGCATGAGGAGCTGTGTGACCTCCACGCTGTCATTCCTCAGCTCTCGCACATCTTCCCCGATATCACAGAATCACCCTCGCTCAACTTCTCAGAGAACCCAACCATCCCTATCCCTCTCACCGTCCAAGAGGCTCTTTCGGGTCCCCATGCTGCCGAGTGGCGCGCTGCCACGGAAGCTGAGTGTGAATCCTTCACTCGCAACCACTCCTTCGACAACGTACACCTCCAGGAGTTAACATCGTTGGGGGCAAGTGGCTGTTTCAAGTGAAACAACTTCCGGACGAGGCCCCAGTGTTCGAAGCGCGCAATGTGGCTAAGGGATTCACTCAGCAGCAGTACTTTGACTTCTTCAAAACTTTCTCTCCCACATCCAAACCACCCACGGTTCGCACGATCTAGGATGTAGCCGCACGGGAAGACTTTGAGATTAAATCCATGGACGCCTCTTCGGCATTCCTACAAGAACACCTCAAGGAGACTGTGTTTATGGACCGACCTGAAGGCTTTCCAGGAGAGTTCCCTTCCAACACAGTGTGGAAGCTGAATCGCCCTGTTTACGGCCTCAAACAAGCCCCTCGTGAATGGCACAACAAAGTGAAAGAAGTCTTTCTCTCATTGGACTTTCACCCATCATCCGCTGACCCGACTCTCTTCATTCGCCGTCACTCTGAGCCATTCTACATCCTTCTCTACGTCGATGACTTCATCCTCGTTGCCAAGGACTCGGCCGAGATGACCTTTGTCCAGGCGGCCCTGAGCAAGGCCCTCCTAATGAAAGACCTCGGTGACCTCAAGCACTACTTGGGGATGGAGATCACTCGTGATCGCCACGCTCGTACTATCTCACTCTCCCAGGAGTTCTACATCAACAATGTGCTCAAGCGCTTTGAGATGGAGTTGTGCACACCCATGGCCACCCTGCTACCGCTACAACACCTCCTCACAGCTCCAGCTGTGCCCACACTAGAGGCCTGCTATGAGCCATACCCGGAGCTTGTAGGGTCCCTCATGTACGCCATGATGTGCACCCGCCCTGACCTGGCATACCCTGTCAGTGTCCTCTCTTGCTATGTGGCTCCTGGATGCTTCACTGACCTTCACTGGAAGGCGGCAAAGCGGGTGCTGCGCTATTTGCAGGGCACCAAGTCTCATGTACTCACACTTGGTGGGCTTTCTCCTCCTCGACTGAAAGGTTACACTGACTCCTCCTGGGCCGATGACCAGACGGACCGACGCTCCTCCCAGGGCTACTGCTTCACCCTTGGGAGCGGAATTGTCAGCTGGTGCTTCACCATGTCGTCTGCAGTCTCCCTCTCCTCCTGTGAGGCAGAGCTTTACGCTGGCACCATGGCGGCTCAAGAGGCCCGTTGGCTCACTTTCCTCCTCTAGAAGCTTGGCTACCCTCACTCAGCCCACCCCCACCCTCTGGTGTGACAACAAGAGCACAATCCTCCTCTCCCAGGACCCTGTGTATCACACTCGCACCAAGCACATCGAACTTCGACACTTCTTCATTCGTGACCTTCTCCAGCGGGAGCAGTTGAATGTGGAGTACGTCGCATCTGACTGGAACTTGGCTGATCTATTCACCAAGCCCCTTGGGAAAGTTCCTCACCATCGTCTCCTTGGCGCCATGGGGCTCTGCGCTCCACCTTCTCTACCCTGAGTTCGATTGACGTCTATGGGGGGGTGTTAGTGTTAGACCTCAAATCTCACACTTTGTATTTTGTACTTTCTATATCCTAGCGTAGTGTAGTTTGCACTTTGTGTTTGGTTGGGTGTACACCTACATCCCAACCAAACCCAAATGTGATCTCCAAGCAATCTCCAACCCACCAATTGGAGATTGCCTTGGGATTACCCCCAATCCTTAGAGATTTCCCCTGATCCCCTTCCCCATCCCTTCCTTGCCAATCTTGGATGTACTTAAAGAGCTTCGAGCTCATCACTAATATATGGATTCTAAGCTCAAGTTCTGACAAAATGCCCACCAATGATTTGCAACAGGGCTATCCTCAAGCAGGCGAGCAGGCATGGTGGGCCGTGTGAACGCATTTAGGCATCGGGCACATGGTCAACCCCGCATGCAGTACCGCACATACGCCGCATCCCCACTGACGCTAAGGCACACATTCGGTCACTCCTGCAATGGCAAAGCACTGAGGCGGAAATAGCACCTTACGGAGGTGGAGGGGCGCACCTTATCGAGGAAGAAGTGGAAGTGCAGCGGCGAGAGCAGCCCTGCCAGCATGGGGATGGAGTTGGAGAAGATGGCGCTCAGGTTGTTCACAAATCTGCGAGCCACAGGAGGGGAGGAGAGGGGGGAGAGTAGGGATTGAAGGGGGAGAAGGAAGTGGGTTGGAAGGTGGATGTGGAAGGTGTTGTGGCTGCGGAGAGGGAGACATGTGCGCATGGCCAAATGATCCATAAGAGCATGCGCTGAGAGAGAAATAAGCACTCCCCTGTGTGCTGTGCTCCCATGCCATGCCATGCCATGTATCCCGCTCCACTTGGAATGCTGAACGTGTATTGCTGCTCTTTGTCAACGCGCCACATACCGGTGCACCCGTGCTATGTGAATGTGAATGCAATTGTGTAATGCATACAGCACCTACAAGCCAGCCACTGCACAATCACACAACACGACCGCACCACAGCCAGCAGCAGTGCCACGCGGCTCACTCGGATTGGTCGCCCACGGACTCGAGGGTGCTCCAGGGCATGCGGGCCATGCGGTCCAGTTCGCCCTCCAGCCGCCCCTCCAGCCCTGCCACCAGCACCGCCAGCGCACGCGTTATGGCGCTTGAAAACTCCTCCTGCCACGTCGCAGCATGGGAGGGAGCCCGGGGTGGGGTGGGGGTGGGAGGGAGTGGTTGGGGCGAAAAGCTCGAGCTTACACATCATGCCAGCAACACCGCCAGCGGCCGCGTGATGGCACGTGAAAACTCCTGCTGCCATGCCATGCGAGGACATGATGGCAAACAGCAGTGCATGGAGACAGCGGTTGACCGGGTGGCAGCATGGTGAGGTGAGGAAGAAGCACGAGGAAGTGCATCGGGATGGAGTCGTTTCAGACGTTTTTGTAGTGCTTAAAATATGACAATTACTACTAAACTTTTGTATGCAAACGCACATGGCAGGGGGGTGGGCATGTGACTGTGCATCGACCATTAGAGCTGCTCCCCCCACACACATCTCCCTTCAGCCGCACGTGCTCCTCCTTCCCCCCTCCCACCTGCCTTCACTTAACCCCTCCAACCAACTCCTCCTCACCACACGCATTCCTTCCTGTCTCATCCCCCACCCCCCTCTCCCCCCACCTGCTCATCGCTGATGTCAACGGACCCCACCAGCGCCGCATCGATGCGGTTCGCCACACTCTCCGCCAGCTGTGCCGCCTGCCACAAGGGGACAACAAGCGGGGTCGATGGTGGGGTGCGGGGAGGAGAGGACGAGGGGGACGAGAGGTGATTGCCGTTGCATGAGTGTGAGCCCACCAGCGTCGCAACGACGCGATTCGCCGCTCTCCGCCAGCTATGCCGCCTGCCGTGCGGGGAGACCAAGTGGGGGGGACGAGAGGGTAGGGAGATAGAGGCGTGAGAGGTGTGGGTGCACGCAAGCGGCCGTGGAGCAGTCGCGCCGGTGACACTCGTGCACTCCCTGCCTGCTGTGCTGCACACCAAGGAGAGACGAGGCAGGGGGGAAGAGGGGATGGGGGGAGGAGAGAGAGAAGGGAGGTGGCGTGGAAAGGGGCACAAGGGAGACGAGAGGGTGGCAATGAGAAGCGGTGGTAACGAGAGGGAAGAAGAAGAAAGGAGGAATTGTAAAGGAAAGGGAGAATGGAGAGATGCTCGAGTGACGAGCAGTATAGCTGGACTCACCGTCTCATGGCAATACTCGGCTGTGTTGATGATGTAACACACCACTCGCTCATCCTTCTCTGTCATCTGCGCTCCCATGGGCACAGGCGTGCGGGGTGGGCACAGGCGTGCGGGGTGGGCACAGGCGTGCGGGGTGGGCACAGGCGTGCGGGGTGGGCACAGGCGTGCGGGGTGGGCACAGGCGTGCGGGGTGGGCACAGGCAGACAGCAGCAGGGCACATAGACATGAGTGCGCCTCGCCTCTTCTTTCCTTTCATAGGTGCAAGCTTGTGTGCAATAGAGAAACGGGGAGAATGGGAGTGGGCGGGAAGGGAAGGGAAGGGAAGGAGGAGAGAACACGAAGGAGCAGCACTGCAATGGCAGGCTGAGGCTGAGAGCACATGAACGGCCATGCGTGGAGCCATGCGTGGAGCCATGCGTGGAGCCATGCGTGGAGCCATGCGTGGAGCCATGCCTCCTGTAACGACTGTTACCTCCCCACCCACCCCGTCCCGCCTGCTCCCCGTGGCCCTCCCCACCCACCCCGTCCCGCCTGCTCCCCGTGGCCCTCCCCACCCACCCCGTCCCGCCTGCTCCCCGTGGCCCTCCCCACTCACCCACGCATCCATGCATCTCATCAACTCCCCCCTTCCCCCCCCACCCAACATCTATCGCATGCCTACTTGCCCCGCCTTCTCATCCCCACTTTGCTCTCCTTGCCTCCTTGGCCCTTCCCCCGCCATACCCCCATGCGCCTCACCCTCCTCCCCATGCGCCTCACGCTCCTCCCCATGCGCCTCACCCTACCCCTCGCCCCACCTTGACTTGCCACTCGCCACCCCCCGTGGGCTGGGCAGCGCGGGGCAGGCGGGCGCTGAGGCGCGCGGCGTACTGCCGCAGCACACGCTTGAACACCTGCAGGGGGCGGGCCGAGGGGCGCATGGGGGAGGGGGGAGGGGGTAGCACAGATGAGAGACGAGTGATGTGCATGCAGCAGGAGCCTCTGGTGCTCACAGTGATGATGTAAAGGCGGAGACAAGTGGGTTGGGAAGAGGAGAACACTGAGGACGGCCAAAAGGAAGAATTATATCAAGGCCAATTAGTCTGGGATCACTTTATTGTTCAAAGAGGGCTCACCTGGAAGAGGGCTCACCTGGAAGAGGGCTCACCTGGAAGAGGGCTCACCTGGAAGAGGCTGAGCAGCGTTTGCTTTCTGGTGAGCTGGCAGCAGCGGTTGAAGCTCTTGCGGATCGCCAAAAACATCTGCCGGCCGGCAGACAGGCAGGCAGGCAGGCAGACAGCATGGGCACAGAGTCATGGAGGGAGGGACGTATGGAGGAATGAGAGAAGCGATGGCGAGACAGCCTCCGTGCCCCTCACAACGCAAATCCTCCCAACTACGGTTACCCTCCCACCTCTGTGAGTGCTGCCCTCCCACCTCTGAGCTGCTGCGCAGGATGTTGGTCTGGCTGCCCTCCTCCGCCTCCCATGTCTCCTCCTGCCGTGACTCATGCAGCACACCACAGGATACAGAGCATCCACCCCCATGCCCCACGTCCATGCATCATGCATCAAGCCATGCCCCATGTCATGACCCATGAACCATGCACCATGCACCATGCACCATGCACCATGCACCATGCACCACCAGGGAAAACGAAAATCAGGAAATGCAATGAGCAAAAGCTAATTGCAGACCGCTGCTCTCACCAGTTTGCAACACCATCAATCCCTTGTAACCTAGAAACACCATAACCTGCACTCCATATCACATACACCAGTTATCACCTGCACGGGTTATCACCTGCACCAGACACCTGCACGGGTTATCACCTGCATGAGTTATCACCTGCACCAGTTATCACCTGCACGAGTTATCACCTGCACCAGTTGTCACCTGCACCAGTTGTCACCTGCACCAGTTATCACCTGCACCAGTTATCACCTGCACCAGTTGTCACCTGCACGAGCTTGTCAAGTGTGTCCGCCAGAGTGCGCTCCTCGAGGTCCACATACACCCCCAGGTGCGGCTCAAAGCACGCCGAGATGGCCCCCTGGAACTCAAACTGCCACGTGCGGACGGGAAGGGGACGGAGCGAGGCAGCAGCAAATGAGTGGCAATGAGGGAGGGGCTGGGAGAGTGTGACTGTAATGAATGAAGGATGAACAGGCTGGCCGGAAATTGAGCTGGCCCACCATGGACGTACATTGTGAACCTAAGGAGGCCTTCTGAGGACGGGCAACGGGTCGGGCGGGCAAAAAAAACAACCCAACTTGAACAGGGCAACGGCTGACTAGTTTGAGTCTTGCCACACCAATTGTAAAAACTTCTTTGGCAAGCCCCCTCTCCCACCCCTTGCTTCCTTCTCTCCCTTCTCCTGCCCCCTTCCCTCCCTCCCTCCCTCCCTCCCTCCCTCCCTCCCTCCCTCCCTCCCTCCCTCCCTCCCTCCCTCCCTCCCTCCCTCCCTCCCGCCCACCACACTGACCTCCACATCAGCGGCGCCAGCAGCAGCGGGGGCAGCGGCAGCAGGCGAAGAGGGCGAGGCAGCGCCCCCGGCAGGCGCGGGGGGGAAGCGCTTGGCGAGGTCGTCCTCAAACTCCAACGTGCGCTCCAACGCCTGATAGGGGGGGGCAGGGGGGAGCAGGGTGCGCGTGGGGGGAGGAGGGTGGAGGTGGTGGGGGACTAGCGAGGTGGCGAGGTGGCAAGTGCAGCGAAGGAAAGAGAGATGGGTACGAGATAGTGAATACTTGAGTAAGATCGATGTCAGAGTCAGCATAAGATCGATGTCAGAGTCAGCAATAGATCGATGTCAGAGTCAGCAATAGATCGATGTCAGAGTCAGCGTAAGATCGATGTCAGAGTCAGCAATAGATCGATGTCAGAGTCAGCAATAGATCGATGTCAGAGTCAGCAATAGATCGATGTCAGAGTCAGCAATAGATCGATGTCAGAGTCAGCAATAGATCGATGTCAGAGTCAGCAATAGATCGATGTCAGAGTCAGCAATAGATCGATGTCAGAGTCAGCAATAGATCGATGTCAGAGTCAGCAATAGATCGATGTCAGAGTCAGCAATAGATCGATGTCAGAGTCAGCAATAGATCGATGTCAGAGTCAGCAATAGATCGATGTCAGAGTCAGCAATAGATCGATGTCAGAGTCAGCAATAGATCGATGTCAGAGTCAGCAATAGATCGATGTCAGAGTCAGCACCACATGTAGCTGGACTTTGCAAATCTCGCCTTCCTCAAACGCTACCAGCACCAGCTATGATCAGCACCAGTTACGTGCTATAACCTGCACAGGTATGACCTGCACCAGGTATAACCTGCACCGGGTCTGACCTGCAAGAGCGTGGTGACATCTGGTCTGTCCTTGGATCCATCCAGCTGCTCCTTCAACTGCGCCCTGCATGCTCAGTAGTACAATAGCCATGCCAATGCACACATTCAAGGTGAGTGAGAAGGCCAGTAGCATGCCAGCACCTTCAAGACGACACTTGAGAAATCGCGATGGAAAAGGAATCACAAGATCTCCTGCACCAGGATAGCACGGATAACCTGGCTGAGCCGAGCTGACCCACCCACGGAGACATCTAAGGCCTCATGGTGAAGTTACTCCCCCACGCCCGACGCCCCACGCCCCATGCCCACCCACCGTGTCATGTGGCTTCCCCATGCCACAAAGCCCACCCACCGAGTGATGCGGCAGAACTGCGAGCAGAGGAGGCGCTGCACGTGCCAGGCGGGCGGGAAGATGCGCCACACGTCCTCGTTCAGCTTCAGCTGCCTCTTCACCCACACGTAGCGCCTCTCCACCTTGTCCAACCACGCCACATCTGATGGGTGGGAGGGAGGGTGAGAGGGAAGGGGCACGAGGAAGACAAGGGGAGGGGGGACGGGGGGGGGGGGGGGGGGAGAGAGGCACACACACAGGGACGGTGATGGATGGCACATGAGGGCTGTGGGGGAGGTGCAGAGGGGAGTGGCAGTGCTGCTCAGTGCCCCTCCACCCGCCATGCATGGGTGCGGGGGGGGGAGGGACGGAGGGGTAGGCAGAAGGGTTTGGCACGGAGATAGATGTGGGACATGGGAAGAGAGGCGCGAGTGGAATGAAAGCAAAGCCAACGATTTACAGAATGACCAAGTGAGAGTGGAAGGGAGCAGCACCAACCCGTGCCCTGGAAGATCTGCTGGTACTGACCCGTGCCCTGGAAGATCTGCTGGTACGCGGTGAGCTCCTTGCTGCACACGGAGCGCACCAGCTCGTCCCGCGCGTGGCCATCACCGTCCAGCGCCGCCACCACGAGACACGCATCCGCCAGCTGCTGCATCACCTGCCCGTTCTCCCTCATCACTGGCGTGCCCAGGCTGCAGGTGGAGAGAGGTGCGGGGGAGGGGCCATGATGGAGATGCGAAGAATGGAGATGCAGATGATGGAGAGTGAGCGAAGGAGCAGTGCGCAGCAGTTCCATCCACAAGAGGCACTCCAGCCACACACATTGTGTGGCACGCATGCGAGTAGGAGTCGTGCTGTAATGTGCGGATAGCATGGCATGGCAGATGGGTAGACGACAATGCATAACATGGCATGACAGGGTACGCATGGAGCATAAAAAGGGCAAGAGCATTGGTGCAAGGTGCATGCGTGCAGGGCGGCGGGGCAGGTCGGGGGGCGCACGTGGAGAAGTCGGAGAAGATGTGCGACTTGAGCGTGGCCTTGAGCGCCGCCACTCGCCCCTGCAGCTCCGCTATCTTGGGGATGTCGCGGTACGCCTCAAAGTGCGCCAGTAGCTGCGTCACCGCCTGCCGTCGTTGGGGGGGGGTTGGAGGGGGTGAAGCAGGGGGGGTTGGGGAGATTGGGGCATGGAGGAGCGATGCAGTTGGCATGCTTGGTGTGGGAGGGTAGGTGGGTAGGTGCAGCATGGTTGTGGCGCAGGCGAAGTGACCAACACCATGGGATGGGCAGGGGAGAAGGCGCGCAAGGCATGGTGGGCGAGGGTGGTTGTGGGTGCGCTGTCTAAAGGCAGGCAGGGCAGGGGGGCACGGAGAAGGGCGTGATGACAGCACACATATGGGTGCTGCGGACGCGGGAGGGCGGCGCGGGGAGCAGAGTGGATGGGGAGGAAGGAGAGGCACACAGTGTTGGTTGGGGGAGGTGGCATGGCAAGGGCATGGTGGGATGGGAGGCGAGCAGCTCCAGCCGTTCCATGGCAGCGTCAGTCAGACCTTCATACACTGCATTCACTCTGGCGATTCGGCACATGGCAGGCACATGGTAGGCACATGGCAGACACATGGCAGGCACATGGCAGGCACATGGCAGGCACATGGCAGACACATGGCAGGCACATGGCAGGCACATGGCAGGCACATAGCAGGCACATGGCAGGCACATGGCAGGCACATGGCAGGCACATGGCAGGCACATGGCAGACACATGGCAGGCACATGGCAGGCACATGGCAGGCACATGGCAGGCACATAGCAGGCACATGGCAGGCACATGGCAGGCACATGGCAGGCACATGGCAGGCACATGGCAGACACATGGCAGGCACATGGCAGGCACATGGCAGGCACATGGCAGGCACATAGTAGGCACATGGCAGGCACATGGCAGGCACATGGCAGGCACATGGCAGGCACATGGCAGACACATGGCAGGCACATGGCAGGCACATGGCAGGCACATGGCAGGCACATGGCAGGCATGACCTCCATCCCTACCATGCGCACCCTACCACATGGCCCCACACCCCCTTGCCCCACGGCACCCCACGCCACCCCACCTGCAGCTGGTCAGCGGCATCGCGGTACTGCCGGTTGGCTGCCAGCGCCTGCAGGCGATCCACCGCAAACACTGGCGGGGGGGAGGGGAGGGAAGGTGGGGGAGGGTTATCGCCATGAAGAGACATTTAAGTTGTTAGAATGCAGTCGCGAACTGTACCCCTGCCAGCATGCCAGCGGGAGTGGGCGTTGGTGTGGGGCGCACCGAGCATGGCGAGGCGGTTGAGGGCGGTGATGGTGGCGGTGATGTGCTTCTTGGCGCAGTCGAGCTTCTTAATGTCGCGACATATCTCCTGCACCATCACCTCGCTCTGCTCCGCCTTCGCCTTTATCGCCCGCATCTTCACCCACAGCTCCTGGGGTGGGGTGGGGGGGGGGGGGGGGGGGGGAGGAGGAGGGGGAGGGGGAGGGGAGGGGCAGGGGGGAGAAGGGCGAGAGGCATGGCGCATGGCGGGCGCCATCTCAACAAGAAGCACACGAGCTGGGGAAGGCGGAGGGGAATAGACAGAGAAGGTGGGCGATGGGCAGCACACACCGGGCAGAGCGGTGTGGGGTGGGGGGGTGAGTTGATTATGGAAGCAACATGGGAGGACACATGCTTTCTCCCCTCCCATCCCATCCCACCCCACCCCATCCCACCCCCTCCCATCCCATCCCATCCCATCCCATCCCATCCCATCCCATCCCATCCCATCCCATCCCATCCCGTCCCATCCCACCCCCTCCCCTCCCGTCCCGTCCCGTCCCATCCCGTCCCGTCCCGTCCCATCCCATCCCATCCCATCCCGTCCCATCCCACCCCACCCCACCCCACCCCACCCCATGCAATGGCATGCATGCACCCAAGGGCGCACCTCAATGGCGCGCATGGAGGCTGTCAGGTCGTCCTTGGCTTGCGACCCTGACGTGCTCTGCCATGCCATGCACAAAAAATCGTATGCCATGACATGCATTATGCACCGCACATCACATGCCATGCCATTCACATGATGACATGCGACAACATGTGATACAATAACATGCCATGCCAGCCACGTACGTAATGCACAACAGCACAGCTATGCATGTGAGTGAAAGCATGCATCTTTCATGGAACGCTGATAGTTGTTCGAATCAACCTGATGCCCCGATGTGTCATCTCTTTCTATGCTGCCGCACTGGTTCAACTGCTGCCCTGTATGCTTCATCTGCTGTCCCATTATTCGCCCAGCTGCCCCGAATTCTTTCATCAGCAGCTCTGAATGTTTCAGCTGCAGCCCACCCTGTTTAACCTGTCGTCCCAAAAGCGTCACCTTTTGTGTGCATCAGCTGCCCCAGGGCTGCCCGAAACGTTTCATCAGCTTCCCAAACGTTTAATTAGCTGCAAAAACGACTGCCCAAACGTTTCATCAACTGCCCAAACGTTTCCTCAACTGCCCAAACGTTTCATTAGCTGCCCCTTTTCATTAGCTGCCTGATCAGCCGCCCAAACGATTCATCAGCTGCCCAAACGCTTCATCAGCTGCCCGAACGTTTCATCAGCTGCCCGAACGTTTCATCAGCTGCCCCAGGGCTGCACCTGCTGGCGGATGGCTCACCTGCTGGCGGATGGCGAGGAGGATCTCGGCGTCGACGCGGCGGATGCGGTTGCGCAGCTTCTGGATGAGCGGATCCACCGCCGCCAGCGATGACTCTGCGGGGGGAAGGGGGGAAGGGCGGCGAGGGCGGGGTGCGGGTTGGGGGAGAGCCACAAGTGTCGTTCTCAGTGTGTCGTGCCAATCGCGGGGCGCCAGGCGAAGACCGTAGACTGGCCGCCGGAGGCTCCACCAGGTACCCGTAGGAAACAACCCAGTGAAGCCAGGTGGGCGGCGTAGCCATATCTCCTCGTGAAGGCTGCCCTGCAAGAAAGCTGTAGAGAAGTCGAGGGAGTGCAGCTCGTAGTCACGCTGTGCTGCAACGTGTAGCAACACCCGAAGATGAGCCATCTTCGGGGTGGGGGAGAAGGTTTGTAAGTAGTCGACCCCCTGTCGCTGACTGAAGCCTCGAGCAACGTAACGCGCCTTGAAGGCAGGCGGAGAACCCGGCGGCCGCTTCACTATGAAAATCCACATGCCATCGACTATGTTCGCCCCAGGAGGAGGAACCTCATCGACGTAGGTGCCTGTGGACTTCCAGGAAGCCATCTCTGCGTCCATGGCTGTCTGCCACTGAGAGGAGTACTCACCCGCGATCGCCTCAGCGTAAGAGCGCAGGGTAGGGATGTCAAGTGCATCAGGGTCTCCCTTAGGGCAAAGCAGCATGGATGCGAAACGAGGTAAAACGTCCGCAAGACACTCAAGCTCAAACTGCCTGTCCTCAAGGACGTCACTGCTAAGGGTAGGCTCACCCTTGACGGATGAAGGCCATACAGACTCAGACTCAGAAGCAAGACTCGCGACGTAGTTGAGACGAGTCCTAGCTGCAAAGTCGACTAGCTCAGTGACTAGGGAAAACGCAGCAATAGACACAAATTCAGGGTCAGTGACGACAATAGCGAGGAGACGAGTGACAGTAGAACTGGCAGCACGTGCAAGGTCGGACGCAGGGTCAGGAACGTGCGGAAGAGAGGACGCAGGAGGCTCAGGCAAGACAACACGCTGGGGAAGAGAGGAAGGACGAAGTGCCATACCGTGAGTGCCTGGGACAGCGGGAGGGCGAGGACGGGCGACACGATGAGCACGGATAGGCGTGGAGGCATGAGTCTTAGGCTTAGGACGCGCAGTCAGGGACTCAGTCACCTCAGTGTGAGGAGAAGGAGCGGGCAGCAGCGAGCCAGGCAGTAGCTGTGGCTGAGACTGGTCTGTCGGTGGACACAGGAGAGGTTGAGTGAGGCCAGTGGAAGACGGGAGAATTAGAACCTGGCGAAGGGCCGAGTCAGGTGGTGGCAGGGTCGACTGCGACTGCGGGTAGAAAAACGGTCCGCTCGATGCTGTACCCGTACCGTCAGCAGCTCCAGCACATCCAGCACCTCCAGCTCCAGCACCTCTTGTAGCACGTCCAGCACCTCCAGCACCAGCAGCACCACCAGCTCCGGCAGCTCCAGTACCTCTAGTACCTCCAGTACCACCAGCTCCAGCACCTCTAGCACCTCCAGTACCACCAGCACTAGTACCTCCAGCACCAGCAGTACCACTAGCTCCGGCAGCTCCACAACCTCTAGTACGAGCACCTCCAGGACCAGCAGCTCCACCACCTCCAGTACCTCCAGTACCACCAGCTCTAGCACCTCCAGTACCTCCAGCACCAGCAGTACTACCAGCACCGATTCGACGACGAGTGCCACTATTGTCACAAGAGCGGACATATGTGGTGCGATTGCTTCAGGAATGGTATGAGAGCATGAGATAATATATATTTTATGCTTACAATAGTGTGTGAATGATGAGGCATGACTTTGAATGTGTGTGTCGAGTCAATAGCGAGTTATCGCTAGTCGTATGTCACGTCGTAGTTTGCGTGTCGTGTGCGGTTTTCTATTTTGTCGTATGTGGAACGTTCGGCGTGTCGCAGGTGTGCGCAGAAGACTTCCAAGAACTCAAGGAATAATTTATCTTGAAGAACCAGAGCCTTGGTTTCAAGATTCAAGTGATTTCGAAACTCTCCAAAAGGGTAAACTTAAAGATAGTGAGAATAGTTACATTACAATATGTAGTGTAACATTTCTCTTGGTGTAGGCCCTTGTGGAGTGTAGTTTCGAGACCCTTCATCGTTTGGGACAGTGTGAAACTGTTCCACATCACTGTACCTCGGCTCTTGGGGTTTGTAGAGGCTGGGAGTCATTCCCAACTTGTAACTCTTCCTAATTTGTGTTCTAAGTCTAAAGTGGCTGCCATAGTGCCATTCGTTCAAACCGAAGTTGTGTCGTCTATTCTTAATGAAATTGTGCGATCTAAATTACTTATTGTAGGCAAAATTAAGACGCTCGAGATCCAAGTTGAATCAGGTCATTTGCAGCTGTGACCAGAATGCTATGAACGTTTAAAGCCGCTGTGCAGAAATCCGACTGTGCACTCTATCTTTCGTTTTAGGCACATTCAAGCCTACTACGACTATAACAAGTGGTATGAGAGCCCCTTGGAGCAGTTTCGACAATGGCTAGACCTGAAGAAAGGGGTGGCAGATGTGCTGGTGGCAGTGGAGAAGCCCAAGCTCAAGGCCAACCCTGTGATTCAGCCATGGCGCCTATACAACCAAGTCTTGGCACACCTAGGGATGAACCTAGGGTGTTTGGGCTTGACAAGTTCAATGGCGACAACTTCGCTGAATGGTCCTTCAGAATGGAGAATGTATTTGACCACTATGACCTGCTGGAGGTGATGGAAGGAACGGAGAAGCGCCCCGAGAATGACCCGGAGAAGAGCCCGTGGGTGCAGAAGAGCGCACAAGGCTATCTCCTACTTGGGCAAGCGTTGGGGAGCAGCCAAATCCGTCATATCAAGCCATTCCATCGTGGACAAGAGAAGGGACGAAAGGCATGGGCTGCTGTCAAGGGTGTACACACTCCTGCAACAGCGACGGTAGCGGTGGTGTTGGAACGGCAAATGGTGGCACTACGAATTGAAGAAGATGAACCGGCTGAAGAAGGGGTGCAGAAATTCTACGACTTGTAGACGCGGCTTGAAGGAGCGGATCTCAACTATAGTGAGCTCCAAAAGAAGACCAAATTGCTGGCCTTACTCCCAGAGTCATGGTCCTCGCTCATCATCAACCTCAATTGTGACTTGCCCCGCCTCTCGCTTGAAGACGTGAAGCGAGCGATCCTTCAAGAGGACTTCTGCCGCCGTGAGTTGGCGAGTGCGGATGGCGCCGGGGCAGCAAGCATTGGCCGAGGGTGTGGATGTGGAAGGGGTAGAAGACAAGGGGGAGGCACATTTGGCAGCAACAAATTCAATGGAGGTCGCGGGAGTGGCGGATACGGCAGCGATTACAAGAGCTACGGACGCGGTCGCGACCGATTCGACGACGAGTGCCACTATTGTCACAAGAGCGGACATATGTGGTGTGATTTCTTCATGCTCCTTGATAGATGGACCTCTGCTTAAGGCCAAGAGGGTAGAGGAGCAGGAGGAGGGAGAGGAAGAGGCCATGGAGGCCGTGGCGGTCGCGGAGGTAGTGCTGCAAATATGAAGAACGGTGACAACGAGAGCGAGTCGAGGGACGATCGCTTTCCGGGTCAATTCTTCTTCGTGTTGACGCAAGCACCGGCTACACCAGAAAAGGATGAAAGCTTTGAGGAGCCTGCTGTTGTGGGGAAGGTGACCCTACACTCCCTGGACTATTGGGTGATCGATAGCGGCGCTACCTATAGCATGACACCTCGTGCGGACTTGCTCACCAAACTTGAACCGTCACCAGTGAAGCATGTCACATCGGCTTTGGGGCAGCGAGCAGAGGTGAAAGGCATGGGCAAGGCCATGTTCAAGGGTGCTGATGGGAAGATGGTGGGCCTCAAGAACGTGCTTTGGGTGCCCAACCTTGCAGCCAACCTGATTTCCGTGCGGCGGTTGCAAAAGGCCGGCATGGACACGAGCTCAAAGGGCTTTGCGAGCGGATCCTTTGGGACCTTCACGAGGATACAGATGTCTACAACGAGATGTGGTAGATCCTTGTGGACGCCATGCCTTCGGAGAGGCAAGTGGCAGCAAGCATCAGCACCAAGGGTGAAGCGGTTGGTAGCGGCGATGGCGCGAACGGTCGCGCTAAGGAGATTGAGTCCAAGAAGTGCAATCTTGGAGGGACCAGCAAGCTCGGTGAACACGAGGAGAGTGGTGCAGCAGCCAAGAAGCAGCACAAGGGTGAGGAGAACCCCAAGGCAGCAGCGGAGGAGGACTACGGAGAGAGCATGTGGGGCACTATTGCGAGTGCGGCATTCTCCAATCCGACTTCGGCTACG